CACCAGAATTTCTAATATGTTCAACTATAATATTTATTATAAGTTACACCATATTTTTGCTTTTTGTTATTTGAAAAGTTTATAAATAATTCAGAATAAAAAATTATGTCTTGCTTGTGTTGAAAAGTGTTATTTTTTCAATATTATCTACTCATCCAGTTTTTTGTTTTTTATCTTTTCTGAACATATTATTTTGTTTTTGTAAATGAAATAAAGATAAATAATATAATTAAATAATTACCAAAAATTTGGGATTATTAGGTTTGACGTTTTTTAGTTTAGGACAGTTTTAATCCAATTTATTCTTTTTTTACTCTTTGAAATTATTTTAAAACTGGAATTGCTAAAAAATTAAGTTTTAACATGGTAATTATTATTGTTGTTATTTGCCGATAGTTTCGTTTATTGTGGGAACTTTTTATGGTTCTAATAATATAACACTAAAAAACAACGTTTGAGTAGTGTACAACGTTTACGGACAGACTCTATGAAATATCAAATTCTTTAATGGGGGTATATTTGTTCAATTAATTAACAAAAAATATAAAAATTTAATACATTTTATTATAATAATATGATTCATTTTGTAAAACCGAAAACCGATTTAAAACGATTTAAAACATCTTATTGAAAATAAGATGTTTGAAAACAAATAGAATATAGAACTTATTCTTTATGAATAAGTTTATTTTAATTGGGTTGTTATTTACACAATTTAATAAGTTATTAATATTGTACAGACTTTTTTTGGATTCAGAGTGCATTTCTCTCAAAATATACAAATGTAATATCTTATTTACTTTAACCAGAGTTCCCCAAGTGTTGAAAAACGGTAGCGGATTTGATGATTTCTAGCTTTTGTCATATCAAAAGAAATTTTATTCAAAAAAATAATTGGAAAAAAAGGTTGTTAATACATTCTGTTTCTTTTATTAATTGATTCAAAAATAAAAATAAGCAAAATTTTTATTAATAGATGGTAATCCTAATAATACCCACAAAAACAACCAATTAATTTAAAGTATTTTTGTATTGTTTAAACAAAAAATGATGTAAAATCGTGTAATTTAACTGTAAGAACGGGCATGTGAACTACATTTTTTTTATTATTTATTAAATAAATAACCAACCAATTTATTAAATTATTATTATACCAATTTTAACACAACAGATAAAAAACAAATCAATTACAGGCTTGGCAACTCAAGAATCAACTAAGAACCACAGCCCATACGTACAACATTGTATACTTAATTGTGAGCCGGTAGGCCAACATCAAAACCTTTCTCAAGCCTTGAAAGGTTTTTTATTCGTGTCAACCCTATTGTTTATATTTGTTCTCAGTTCGTTCTTTTATAGCACAAATTACAATTATAATTATATTTTCTATAATTTATTATTATAATTAAACAACGATAATTATGGCATACAGAATTCTTGTCTCGTTTAAAACTATATATTATAGATTAAAACAATAACAAATTTGATTTCATTTTTCTAAAAATGTAATTTGGTGGTTGAAATTATTTTTTAT